TGCATGGAGCACTGGGTGTTATGCACAAACAATGAATCATGAATGCTACATCCAAAACTAATGATGTAATGTATGGTGATTAACATAACAATAAAAAATAAAAAAAATTTTAAAAAAAGATGTAAATATTACCATTTGGTCCTCTAAATATTTTAAAGAAAAATCATTCTAATACATTTGGTGAAAATGATACATGCTCATTATCAAAAATTTTTATTTGTATGTTATTATGAATATGTAAATATTATTCACAGCTGAATCTTGTACTCTATAATGATTATATATTATATTATATACCTTCTTAAACACATTTTGCTTTTTGTATAGCTAATATTGGCAGCATTTTTTATTTATTTAGTTTTCTAGGTACTGATTAAAAATGCATCCCTTAACTATGCAGAATTGTACATCACATCTCAATGCATTCAAATACATTCTATCAGTCCCATATTTTCAAGAAGAAAAGAAATCGCTCAGTCGTTAAGCATCTGCCTTCGGCTCAGGTCATGATCCCAGGGTCCTGGGATCGCGTCCCACATTGGGCTCCCTGCCCAGCGGGAAGCCTGCTTCTCCCTCTCCCACTCCCCCTGCTTGTGTTCCGGCTCTCGCTATCTCTCTCTCTCTCTCAAATAAATAAATAAAATCTTAAAAAAAGAAAAGAAAAGAAAAGAAATCCTCTTGGAACTGTCTTCCTTTTCTGATCTGAACTGGGATTGTTCTCATGGTTTCTTTCACAGCCATTATTTTGTTGATTTTTATTATATAAAGGAAATATTTTGTCACTTAAAGGTTATTTCAGATTATGATATACTGATATAATGAAACACTATTTAGTTATTTGGAACAAGGTATAAAACATTTCCCAAACTATATTTTTAAGTAAAAAATGTAAGATGATTACCCCAAAAAACAAATAATCCAATTAAAAAATGGGCAAAAGACATGAACAGACATTACGCCAAAGAAGACATCCAGATAGCCAATAGACACATGAAAAGATGCTCAACATCTCATCATCAGGGAAACACAAATCAAAACTACAGGGAGCTATCACCTCACACCTGTCAGGACGATTAAAATCAAAAAACACAAAAAACAACAAGTGTTGGCAAGGATGTGGAGAAGAAGAAATCCTCTTGCACTGTTGGTGGGAATGCAAACAGGTGCAGCCACTGTGGAAAACAATATGGAGGTTCCTCAAAAATTAAAAACAGAGCTACCATACGATCCAGTAATCACACTACTGGGTATTTACCCAAAGAATACAAAAACACTAATTCAAAGGGATACATGCACCCAGATGTTTATTGCAGCATTATCTACAATAGCTTAACTATGGAAGCAGCCCAAGTGTCCTTCAATTGATGAATAGATAAAGAAGATGTGCTATATATACAACAGAATATTATTCAGCCATAAAAAAGGATGAAATCTTGTCATTTGCCCAAGTGGATGCAGCTAGAGTGTATTATGCTAAATGAAGTAAGTCACTCAGAGAAAGATAAATACCACATGATTTCACATATGTGGAATATAAGAAACAAAACAAATGAGCAAAGGAAAAAAAGAGAAAGAGAGACAAACCAAGAAACAGACTTTTAATTCTAGAGAACAAACTGATGGTTACCAGAGGAGAGGTGGTAGGGAAAGGGGGAAAGAAGGGACGGGGATCAAAAAGTACACTTATCATGATGAAAAACAGACAAAACCCCTGAGATTCACGGGGGAAAAAATTGCAAGATGTTTAAGACAATGTAGATAATGTTTCCATTAGTGTAAAAAAAGGTAGATTATATATGTATATACATTTATATAACACATATTTAAACATATACAGAAATACATATAAGAAACTTGACAATCATATTTTCTCCGAAGAGGCATTCAAGGGACTGGAGTTCAGGGTGGAAGATTTAACTTATACTTTCATTTATATTTTTCCTGTTTGCCTTTTTAACACATATATATCTTACTTTTTCAAAGACAAAACCAGTATTTAAATTTTTTTAGTGCTTCAAACTTCTAGGACTACCACAATGAATTTTGTCCTAATAAATTTTGCAGTTATTTTTTATGAAATTACTATCAGCTGTCTTAAAGAAATTATGAAGAATAGGAGAAGTGCCATGAGAGTTGGGAACAGACTGAAAGGGGCTGAGGGGAGAAACAGGGAGACCAGTCAGAGGCTCCTGCAATAATCCAGGTAAGAAAGGTGGTCTGTGGTGGTCACCATAGAGGTAATAAAAAATAATCAGGCTGCAAGAAATGGATTAGGGAGCACCTAGGTGGCTCAGTCGGTTGAGCATCTGACTCTTGATTTCAGCTCAGGTCATGATCTCAGGGTGGTGAGATTGAGCCCCATGTTGGGCCCCACGTCAGGCTCCAGGCTTGGTGGGGAATCTGCTTTAGATTCTCTTTCTCCCTCTGACCCTCCTCCCTCCCTCTCTCTCTCTCTCCCTCTCTCAAATAAATAAATAAATCTTAAAAAAAAAACAAAAAACATTTAGAGGTTTGTCACAACTGGAGCTAAAATAATGGCATACCACTACCAGTTGGAATACCCTGCGTTTGAATCTTAAGAGCTAAAAATCTGAGCAGAAGAAAACAATGACTAAGAGATTGCATCATTTGAGCCGTTGTGTTCAGTATGTAATCGATGCATACCAACTGAAAAAGTAGTACTCTGATATACTGTCAAGAAAAGAAAGTTAATGAAAATGGATTCTCACAGAAAAGATGATTCCTGCCACCATACCACACAAAAACACATTATCTTGAATGAATAGAACAAAAATAAATAAGGCCATCATAACTGAAAATGTTCTATTTTCTCAGCAGGTTTTCTCTGTCCCAACAGTGTGGGTACATTCTTCCCTAGTCTAATTAGTTCTTCTTTTCTGTCCCCATACAAGGACTCCTTTGGAGGTTTCTAGTTGAATGCTGTTCCAGGTAATTTACAAATCCTTTTTGTCTCAAAGTTACAAGGAAAATCATTCCAGGCCCATTTGTCTTGAACATTAACAAGGACAACACAATTTTCTTCCCGATTGTTCGGTTCACCCTCATGCCATAATCTGAAATGAAAGAAAAAATATATATATAAACATATATTTATATTTGTGTGTGTGTATGTGAGTGCATGTGTGTGTGTATGTGTGTGTGTGTGTGTGTGTAGGTTGGGGGACATGCAGAGAAAATGCCTCTGGTGAAAAATTTAGAGCTGCATTGTCTAATAGAAGTATCATAGTACATTAGTATAGAGGGTACTCAACACATAATGTTCTATTCTGAGTAAGCATTTCTACATAGGTGTATTCCAGCCCAAATGAATTCTGCTTGCTATCTTCTCACCTTTGCCTATAAAGCTCTTTCACCCCAGTCAACATACTCACAAATTATGTGGGTTAAATGGTGTTTTGTCCACCAAGGACCACCGGCCTTCATGGTTCTCAAGTCCCAGGAAATAGGAAAATCGTCGATCCAAAAATTGAATAATAAAATTCTGCATAAAAATGTAAATTTTTATAAGTATATTTGCATTTATCATTTAATAGCTATTATATTAGGAAAAGAGAGAAAAGGTCAGATACTTTACTAGCTAAGCACAAAAGCATTGTCATCAGACAGATCTGCTTTCAAATCCTGCCTCTGCCAAGATTTCTCATCTCCAAAAGGACAACTCTACTACCTCACAGAGTTACTGTGAAGAGTAAGTGAGATCATACTTGCAAATCACTTAGCACAATGTTTAATAGGATCAGATTTTTAAAAACTTTTGTTTTTAAAATTGCCTTCTTTAATTGCATGTGTATTAAATTAAGTTCCATTTTATTCAAAGAGTTGGTGAACCTATAGATTGCAAAGCCATGGAAACAGAATCCTCTGGGAAACCCCTCTAACTAAGAAAAGAGTTGAATATGAGTTATGGTATGTATATAGAAGTATATTACATGAGGAAATACATTTGTTTTTAAAGAACCGAATTAAGCTTATTTTTTTTTTTACTTAGAATTTCAACCGTACAACTGAATTATTTTTCCTATGCTTTCTCCTGAGAAGTTATTTCAGTCCTGCTTAACCATTCATTTATTCACTTAATCACCAAATATTTATCAAGACCTATCCAGAGTGCCTAGCACTGTGCAAGACTTTGGAGATGCAAAGATTAGGGGAACACAGCTGCAGCCCTCTATAAAGCAGAGTCATCAGCAAAGACAGGACAGTGAACAGATAACCTCACTACAGTGATGTAAGTGCCATGATTACACAGTGCACAAAGTACCATGGGAGTATCTCCAAATCAGAACAGGGAGGATGGAGTAGGGAAGGTAGTCAGGGTAGTTTTCTGGAGGAAATAACATGTGAATCAAATCTGGAAAGACCAGAAGTTGGCCAGATGAAGAAAAATGAGGGAGGAAGATAAAACAGATGAAGCAAAGGCACAGAGGCAGAGCAGAGAAATTCCTCTTTCTCTGCAAAGAGATTCAAACCACCAGAGAGATGGATGGGAGCCTCCCAACATACCAACTCAGCTTCTGTGCTGATGGTGGCCAGATGAGCCCCCATGCTCGTGCAGTTCCTTTTGCTCTCGGCCCATGTCTTGTTGTCAGTAAGAGAAAAATAGCAGTTGGACTGGAAGGCTCTCCAGCCAAAAGGACAGCAATTCCAGGTGCTCCCTCATGAGAAAATTGAAATGAAAGTCAGTTACAAAGGAGCATTTCATCCGTAACAGATTGCATAGCTATTCTGCTAACTATCCAGTTAACATTTTTTGGAATAATACCAGGATTACCAAAATCATTCTGTTCCCCTTTTCCAAAAATCCTGAAAATTACATTTCTAAATATTTCTGAGCAAAAGTATCTGAATCACATAGTGACTATACGAAAATTACAAGATATTCTCTCAGAAGACAACATCATTTCTTTATGTCCTTACATGTATTTACTTCCATATTTTGAAGTGCTTCTAGGACAAAGCCTTTTGCAGGAAATTTTATCTAAAGGGGGTAGAGAACCTACTAGAACTCTCAAGCATTTCCCCATCCTCCCAAAGGATGGGGGATTTTACAAATTCTAGCATAATAAAAGAGACAAAGTCACTTCAGCAAAGCTGTACATTGTAGGAGGAAACAATCCTTAAGATATGGCTGAATCAAAAGAAAATGGAATTAAATTAATGTTATGTTTTGGATGCCAAAAATGGATCCTAAATGTGTTGTTATATTCTCCAGTTATTCAGCTGATTACAGTCACGAGAAATCTATTTCTATTTATTGATGTTCACTCTTGCACCAGATACTTTTGTTCTTTTAACCTCTCCTGGTTTACTGCTGATTACTTTAAATCAGATTATGAACCTGAATGGAAATGGAAGTAAGAAAGAAATTCTCTTATGCCCTTTTCTATCTACCTTTCAATTTTGATTTCTCTCTGGTGCATGTCAGCTTCGTGTGGTACTCTGGTAACTTGAACACTCTTGTATCTCTCCTGCAGCGTAGAAAGTTGCGATGAGTTACTGTCAAAGGGGAAAAGAGTTAGTTTTCTTTTTCTATATAACCACTTAATCAGGGAAATAGGAGCTGATCACTCTGGTCCTTCTCTTCCCCTAAGAGTTAGGTTAACTAACTCCTATTCTTACTACCCAGTTCCTTTGTTCCAGCTCCAGGTGAATAGGTTGAAAAGAGTTGTCAAAAATTAACATTTTTATTATCATATTATTTATTTATTATCATATATTTTATTATCATATCATATTATCATATTATCCATTTTGTGCTTTATGGGAGCAGTTCTGCAAACCTTTATATATATATGCTTTTAAGCATATTTTTCTATCAGAATCTGTGTAAGAGTGGAGATTTTTAGTAAACATCGGGATAGTTCTGCCAAGTTATGAGCCATATACACTTATTTATCTTTTAAATATTTTTACTTCGAGGGGCACCTGGGTGGCTCAGTCGGTTGAGTGTCTAACTCTTGATTTTGGCTCAGGTCATGGCCTCAGTGCTGTGAGATCAAACCCCACATTGGGCTCTGCACTGGGCATTGAGCCTACTTAAGATATTCTCTCTCTCTCTCCCACTGCCCCTCGCCCACCCCATTTGCTCTCTCTCTCTCTCAAATAAAATATTTATTTAAATAAATAAATAAATATTTTTACTTTGAAACATAACCAAGTGCAAAGAAGTGAAAAACACAAATGTACAGTTATTCAAATTATTGTAAAGTGAACACTCCAGGTAACAAAAATCCGGCTTAAGAAACACAACATTGCCAACACCCCGGGTGGCCTTCACATCCCAAATACAACCCACTTCCTCTCTCTTAAAGGTAACTATGCCATGGATTTTAAAGTAATCACTTTGTGCTTTGCTTCACAATTTTACCACCTGATAACATATCCCTATACCATACAGATCAGATTTGCCTGCTTTTGAACTTTTATATAAATAAAATGATAAAATATGCATTATTTTGGTTCTTTTGCTCAGTGTTATTTCTGAAATTTATTTATACTGTTACATACAACTATAATCCATTCATTTTTATTGCTATAAAGTGATCTATTGTCTTAATGCACTAAAATGTATTTATATATTTTTCTTCTGGTCGACATTTGCATTGCTTCCAGTGTTTGCCTATTATAAACTATACCACTCTGAGCATTTTTGATCATGCATCCTAGAGCCCATAAGCATGCATTCTTTGGGCTATATGCCTGGAGTGGAATTGCTGGTAATAGAATATACATAGTGCCAACTATGATAGTGGCAAAGTTTTCCAAAGTGGTTGTACTGCCCTATGCTCCCTCTAGCAGCAATTCTTTGGAGGTCCAGTTGCTCCACATCATCATCAATATCTAATAGTGCCAGACTTTTTAATTATTGCCATCCTGGTATGTTTGCAATGGTATCTCATTGGGAGTTGAATTTTCATTTCCCTGCAAACTAATGAGCTTGACATTTTTTATGTGTTCATTAAACATTTCAATTTTTCTTTCCTATAGGGCCTATTCAAAATTTTCCTATTTTCCTGCTGTATTTGTCAGGATTTTTTCCTATTGATTTGAAAGAATTGTTTATATATACTGTACATTAACTTTTTATCAATTATATGCATTACAAACACCTATGGCTGTTTTCTTGGTATTTTTGTTGTACACTAATTCTTACTTTAATATAGTATAATTGGTCAATATTTTCTTCATTGGCTAGCACATTTTTTTTAAAGATTTTATTTATTTATTTGAGAGAGAGAGAGTGAGAGATAGAGAGCACGAGAGGGAAGAGGGTCAGAGGGAGAAGCACACTCCCTGCCGAGCAGGGAGCCTGACGCGGGACTCAATCTCGGGACTCCAGGATCATGACCTGAGCCAAAGGCAGTCGCTCAACCAACTGAGCCACCTAGGCGCCCTGGCTAGCACATTTTATGACTTAAGAAATCATTCCCTGCCTTGAGGATATGAATATATTCTCCATTTATTTTCTAAAAAGCATTATTGATTTGCTTTTCACATTTGGCCAATAATCCACATCAGGTTGGTTTTGTATATGATATACAGGAGACCGATTTCATTTTTTGAGTAAGAATAATCAATGGTCCTCCAGCACATTAATTGAACAAAACTGTCCTTTCCCTGCAACTGCAATACCCCCTTCTGTTTTATATAAAAAGTTCATACATGCAGGATCTGTAACTAAGCTCTCTATTCCTTTCCTCTGGTCTATTTGTCTGTATTTGCACCTATACTATATTACTGTAATTATAACTTTATACAAGGTCTTGCTATTAGAAAGAACAAATCTTTCAACTGTTCTTCTTTTCAAAGCCAGACTATAGTCCATCTGAAAGTTGGGTTTTTGCTGGTTATTCTTTACTGATAAGATACAGCCCTTTGTAATCTCAGTCAAAAATGGGGAATGATTTACTACAGCCACCAACCTTCATATGTATAGAAAAGGGTTTAACCTCCATCTGTCATTCCCTGACACAAGACAGCACCATCAAAGAATAGAAGGTTAAAAATGTAGCTCTGGATTTTAAATTCAAGACCCTGAAAAGCAATATGGATTGAAAAGTTTGGGGTGTGGGGGGGAATCAAAATAACAAAAAGCTTAGAGGAACTTTATGAATGTTGTTTGGGGAAATTCACAAGTTCCATTTCAGCTAATAACTTACCCAAACAGTTTGCAATAAAACAAGCACTGAGAAGTGAGATGAAAAAAACAGCAACAGCCCACGGGATCAGCTGGTAATGTTGGCCTCCTACTAGGACAAAAGGAAAGATAAATACATTCTCTGCCACAACAACTAGGGAAGATATTCTACTGAGAAGCAAGCTAAATATGAGATCATCCACAATATTTTAGGTCTAGAGGAGAGCTTAAAGATTTCCTTCTGAATAAATCAGTTTTAGAGCTTACAGATAAAAACATACATACATACATACATATAAACATACATTAAATGTAAACTTTTTTTGAAGGGAAAGGCTTTTTATAAGACAGAAAACCCAAAAATCATAAAAAATTGATAATTTGGGTCCATAAAAATTAAAACATCCATATAACACAAATAATGTTAAAACACAAGGGACATATGAAAGAAAATTTTGTCACAATATTAATGTCTAGACTGTACAGAGAATTTGAAAAATCAATTTGAAAACTGAGCAAAAGTTTGACCAGGAAATTTGCTGAAAATTTAGTTTGCTGAAATTATAAATGACCATTAAACAAAAAAGTATGCTCAAAGAAATGTAAACTAAAATATTATGGTATAATTTTTCACATATGAGATTTTTAAAAGAAAATAGAAAATATGTAGTATCAGCAAGACTGAGAAGAAATAAACTCTTTTGGTGAGGAAACACATGCATATGCTAAACTATAAATTAGAAAGCCTTTAGACAGACCAAGTTAGTAGCACTTATCAATTTTTAAATGTATCACATTTGCCACAACAATTTCAATTCTAGAGCTTTATCATATAGAAATAATTGAACTTATTTATATGGAAGGATATTCATTGCAGTACTTTTGGAAATAGAAGAAAAAACTTCAGAGATCAATACTTGCGTGTGTATTATTAATAGTACAGATTCTAAATGGTGGTGAATCTCTATGATGGAATTCTGCACAGCAATTCAAATAATCCTATATATCAGTATGTATTGACAGAAAAAGTCTCCAAGACATATTCTTGTATAAAGAGGTGTGTTTCAGGACCAGTGTACATTATGGTCAAATTGAAGTTTGCCATGGTGGAGCGATGAGGTGAAGAAAAACATTAATTTTAAAGTTATATTTTTCTGCATTTGTTCTATTTCTCAAAAATATTGTTTAATATTCTTGTAATACAAATACATTGTGACCCTTAAGTACAGCATAAAATGGGATAAAGTCAGAGCCTCAGGTAAACTGTGAGCCTTAGTCAGTGTGTTTTGTCTATCTTCCTTCTTCCTCTTGCCTTTAAAAGAAGCTTCCCAAATTACTCTCTTTCTTTCCATCTTATTTTTCTTTTGTATAATTTATCTCTTCTCTTGGCCCAATTTATGTTTCACAAAGAAGTTTCTCTTACCCAACATACTTGAATCTATCTATGACCTTCCTTTTCACCAAAGTCATTGTCATTTCCTTTAACTCCTCCTCATCATCAACTTCAATCTTCACAACTGCAACTACCATTAATTCATATTTTTAAATCTTAGTCATAATTACATTTACCTCTTTAAAACTGAGAGGAGAGAATGTACTCACGTTTATTCTGAGGTTCTTCTTGCCCCATTGTGGGTTAACTTTCTTGCTGTCCAGTGGTTGGGAGAATGAGAAGCCTCTTCTAATTTTGCCCCAAGTGTGTATTTCCGTGGGTAAGGAGTATACCTTCAGAAACACTTGAGATTGAACATTAATCTTACTTATTCTGGTAAGATCAGGAAGTTCCCCATATAAAAGATAAGTCAAAAGAAGAAGTCTTTTCAAAGACAAGTCTATTTTGATTCACTCTGGGAGACAAAGACAAAAGGAAGTTGGGAAAGCAACATCCAAAACAACCAGTAGAAATTTCCATTAAGTATATTGTGATCACTAGATTAGTGTGTCATGTGAAATTTCTCAATTTGTTTTTATTCATTCAAACAAAAAGTTTAGCAATGCCTTAAAAGAATAATCATTAGGCCTAATAAAAATTTAACAAACATTCCTTCATCTTTCTTTCTTTCTTCTTCTTCTTTTTTTTTTCTTTTGGATGTTATATTTTCAAAGGCAGTTACATGCTTGAGGTAAATTCTGCCTTAAAAAGTTCTCTGACCTGAGTAAGTTGTGTGCAAGATGGCAAAAGACAATGTGAGCAATGAGCTAAAGCTTTTTTGTTTTTAAGATTTTATTTATTTATTCAAGAGGGAGAGTAAGAGGGAGAAGCAGATTCCCCGCTGAGCAGGGAGCCCAATGCGGGGCTTGATCCCAGGACCCTGGGATCATGACCTGAGCTGAAGGCAGATGCTTAACTGACTGAGCCAGACACCCCTGAGCTAAAGCTTTTAATATACATAGTGTATGTATATTGTATGTAAAGAAACAATAACTTCTGTTTTGGGGTTGAGAAAGGGATTGGTGGAGCTGTTGATTAAATCCTCAAATCTTCCTGGATGAGAGAAAATAAGCTTATTAAGGCAAAGGAAAAAGAAATGTAACATTCTGTGATAAAGACATCATCAGGGTCCCTGACTTCTTTTACAGTGCTATCATGGACTGAATGTTTGTGTCCCCCACCCATGCTGGCATCGTGATCTCAAATGTTCCAGCCTCTAGAACTGTGAGATATAAATCCCCATTGTTTAAGCCACCAATCTATGATATTTTGTTACAGCAGCCTGAGATCACAAAAACAAGTATCTAGCAGCTTAGAGATCCTTCTTAAATTCTAGCTTCCAGAATATGGCCCTTCACCTGCCTTTTTCCTTAAGCTACAATATTACTTTGAGTATATATACATATACATATATATACATATACACACATATATATACATATATATTTAGTGATCTTGAATGAAATACTACTTTGCTATGTTAAGCTGGAAGTGGGAGGAAGTAAAATTATAAATTTGACAACACATATATTTTTCAACACTGTCACAGTCAAAAGTATTCCCACAGCAATAATAGTACTTACCCACAAACTCTCAAAGCAACCCTAGAAACTACATCTTTGTCTAAAGTAATATGTGTTCTTTATTAAAAGGATCTAGGAGTCTTAGAGGATATATAAATCCCACCTAGAACAGAAAAAAATAAACTACACCTGGCATATTCTGTGTTCCCAGAAAACGAACATGATTTCAAACACATGAGAGAAACTGTGCTCTAGAAAGTTTCCTGAGCCAAATGAAAAGATGTGTCCAAGAGATAGTTAAGATCACAAAAAGACAGGGGCGCCAAGTGGCTCAGTTGGTAAAATAAGTGTCTGACTCTTGATTTCAGCTCAGGTCATGATTACAGGGTTGTGGGACTGAGCCCCACACTGGGCTCCATGCCCATCAGGGAGCCTGCATGAGAGTCTCTCTCTCCCTCTGCCTCCATGTGTTTTCTCTATCTAAAATAAATAAATATATATTTTTAAAAAATAGCTATAGCTTCAACAACTTGTTAATGGATGGAGACACAATAAAAATGTAAATGTTGACATCAAAAATGTACAAAGAGGGAGAGTAAAAGATGGAGTTTTGGCATGCCAGCAAAGTTAAATTTTTGTCAGCATAAAATAGAATGTTATATCTACAAGATGTTTTATGTAAAACTCATGGGAATCACAAAGTAAAAATCTAAAATAGATATGCTAAGATAAAGAGAAAAGAAACAAAGCATACCACTACAGAAAATCATTGATTGCAAAGGAAGGCATAAAGAAAGGGGGAAAAAAAAAATGGAACCATGAAACACCAGAGAACAATTAATAAGATGGCATTAGTAAGTTCTTGCCTACCAATAATTACTCTAATTGTTAATGGATTGAATTCTCTAATTAAAGGCATAGAGTGGTTGGATGGTTAAAAAAACAAGACCCAACTATACACTGACTACAAAAGACTCACTCACCTCAGCTGTAAACATATACAGAGATTCAAAGTGAAGGGATAGCAAAAGATACTCTATGCAAGCAAAAACAAAACAAAAAAAATCTATCCTAAAAAATATAAACTTTAAGCCCAAAATGGTAACAAAAGACAAAGATAGTTATTATGTAATGGTAAAAGGTCAATACATCAAGAAAATAAAACAAATATATATGCACACAACATCAGAACATCTATAATATTTCAAGAAAATATAAACAGACCTAAAGAGAGAAATAGAAAATAATACAATAATAGTAGGGGATCTCAATTCTTTGCTTTCAACAACAAATAGATCACTGAGACAGAAAATCAGTAAGGAAACAATGGACTTGAAACAAACTTTAGACCAAATGAACCCAACAGACATATCCAAAACATTCCATCCAACAGCAGTAGAATATACATTCTTAAGTGCAAATGGAATATTTTTCAGGATAGATCACATGATAGTCACAAAACAAGTTAAGCAAATTTAAGAAGACTGAAATAAAAAAAAAAGAAGACTGAAATCCTACCAAGTATCTTTTCCAAACACAATGAAACTAGAAATCAATAACAAGAGGAAAGCTGGAAAAAACATAAATATGTGGAGATTAAACAATATGCTCCTGAATGGGTCAACAAAGAAATCAAAAGGGAGGGGCACCTAGGTGGCTCAGTTGATTAAGTGACTCTTGATTCCAGCTCAAGTCATGATCTCAGGCTTATGAGATCGAGCCTGGTGTCAGGTCCCAAGCTGGGAGTGGAACCTGCTTAAGATTCTTTCTCTCCCTCTCCCTCTGCCCACCTACCCAACAAGTTGCATGCGCACATGTGTGCACATGCTTTCTCTCTCTCATTCTTTAAAAAAAAAGAGGAAAGAAAAGAATATCTTTAAACCACTGAGAATGAAACACAACATATCAAAACATATGGGAGACTGCAAAGGCAGTTCTTTTTTTTAAGATTTTATTTATTTATTTGAGAGAGAGTGAGAGAGAGAGAGAGCACAAGCAGGGGGAGGGGCAGAGGGAGAAGCAGAATCCCCACTGAGCAGGGAGACCGATGCAGGGCTCAATCCCTGGATCCTGGGATCATGACCTGAGCCGAAGGTAGACACTCAACCAACTGAGCTACCCAGGTGCCCCTAAAGGCAGTTCTAGGAGGAAAGTTTATAGTGATTCCAGAGTACCTCAAGAAACAAAAAATAGCTCAAACACCTCACTTTACACCTCAAGGACTAGTAAAAGAACAAACCAAGCCCAAATTAGCAGAAAGGAATTAACAAAGACCAGATAAATACATGAAATAAAAACTGAGCAGGGGCACCTGGGGGACTCAGTAGGTTAAGTCTGACTCTTGATTTCAGCTCAGGTCTTGATCTCAAGGTCATGAGTTTGAGCCCCACATTGGGCTCCATGACCAAAAATATAAAAGGTCATTGAAACTGAGAGCTGACATTTTTAGAAGATTAAAAAAAAAATCAACAAACTTTTAGCTAGAGTAACACAGAAATGCAGAGTACTCAAATAAATGAAACCAGAAATGAAATGAAAACCAGAGACACTATAGCTGATACCACAGAAATACAAAGGATCATGAGAGACTACTATGAAAAATATACACCAACAAACCAGATAAACTGGAAGAAATAAATTCCTAGAAACAGGGAGTCCACGAAGACTGAAACATGAAGAAATGAGGGCAGCTGCATGGCTAATCGGTTGGGCATCTGCCTTTGGCTCAGGTCATGATCCCAGGATCCTGGGATTGAGGCCCGCATCGGGCTCCCTGCTCAGCAGGGAGCCTACTTCTTCCTCTCCCTCTGCCCCTCCTGTCTGCTCATGCTCTCGATCAAATAAATAAAATCTTAAAAAAAAAAAAAAGAAACATGAAGAAATAGAAAATCTGAACAGACCAATTTCAAGTAGAGATTGAATCAGTAATCAAAAATCTCTCAAAATAGAAAAGCCAAGGACCAGATGGTTTCACTGGTGAATTCTTCCAAACATTTAAAGAATTAATGGTAATCCTGAAACTTTTCCAAAAAATTGAAAAGGAGGAAATACTCCCAAACTCATTTTATGGGGATAACATTACTCTGATACCACAGCCAGATAAGGATACTACAAGAAAAGAAAATTACAGACCATTATCCCTGATGAATGTAGATACAAAAATATTCAACAAAATATAGCAAACCAAATTCAACAGCACATTAAAAAAAATCATTCACCATGATTAAATGGGAAAAATACCTGGGATATAAGGATGGTTCAACATATGTAAATCAATAAATGTAATATACCATATTAATAGGATAAAAGATAAAAATCATATGATCATCTCAATAGATGCAGAAAAAGCATTTGACAAAGTACAGCATCCTTTTATGATAAAAATACTCAAAAATTAAGTATAGAAGGAACATCCCTCAACACAATAAAGGCCATATATGACAAAACCACAGCTAACATTGTACTCAATGGTGAATAGTTGGAAGTTCTTTCTCTAAGATCAGAAACAAGACAAAGGTGCCCACTCTCACCACTTCTAGTCAGCATAGCACTAGAAGCCTTAGCCAGAGCAATCAGGGAAGAAATAGAAATCAAAGGCATCCAAAGAGAAAAGGAAGAGTAAAATTGCTTTTGTCTGCATATATGATCCCATATACAAAAAAATCCTAAGAAATC